ATATTTGCTTTCAACAGAAATTATGACATTCAAACAATGTAAGTTTTCCATGTAGACAGAACTTACAAAGCTGAATGAAAATACTGGTCAGAGAAAGGAAAGGAAATATTGATTAATGGTGCTGATGAAAAAAAAACACCCCAAAAACCACAGCAAGCTTCCAGTATTAGCACTGCTGATCTCAAGTATATGCTAGCGATTTTTCTCTACTTTTCTACCTTTTCTGAAAGCTGGGGTCAAGAAGAGGACAGAAAAAATAATTAAATTATTAAAAACATATAGATACAAGAACTTCTTTAAAAATGAGGTGACAAAGAAATCTTGACATACGGAATCTGCAGTGAAATGCACATAAATATTTCCCAAAGCAGTTTCTGAATTTCTCAAGTGTTGATAGTTTCTACCTTTGCCACAGGTTGTTGCTACCTGTCAGGAAGGCCACAGGAAGGCAGTGAAAAATTGTGTTCACACTGAGTGTCAGAGAAGTTTATCTTTTTGATCAGGACAAATACATACTTCACATGACCAACCAGCTCCTTGTACATAAATACTAAGGGCTTATTTACACATGTATATGTTTATCTACATTTTTGTCAAGAAACAGAACAAGGCATATCCTGCACAAAATTAGGGATAAGGGAACCACCAGAAACCACGTGGGATCTCCTAGTCACCTCAATTTTGCAGAACTGCTTGTGAGATACAAGGGCTCTTTGGGAGTTGGAGCTGCATCTTTTAACAAAAATTTCTGAGGGAAAAGAAAAAAGAACACAATGTAGATGCAGTGTACAGTTTAAGAGAAAAACAGCTCTATTTGTAATCTCAAGGGCAGTCAGCAATAATTTCTGCTTCTGAAACAAAACACAGCACTTCTCAGCATTTGTTCCATTATAGACGCTGTTTTCTTTGGACCCCAGGAAAGCTGCCTGGTTACTATAGCAACAGATACAGGGGAAAGCTTTTCACTTGTAATTGGCCACTCCTTTAAAATTATACATGCTATTTTTCCATAACCTTTTTAATATGCATAAAATAGAGTAGAATTATGAAAGCCAACAGAGCACACAAAAGCGCTTAAAATACACAAGTTAATTTGCTGATAACTTTATTAGTAAGGCTTTTTTCCCCCTCCCACCAAGTATGTTAGAAATATTTACAAAATAGTACTAAATTCTGACAAAATTATGAATATGAAAATTATTCAACTGATATGCCCTAAACTGTCAATAGCACAGCAATTATTCACCCCTTGCTGTTTTAGCATATCTGCACAATGAAGGTTTATGTTCTGGTAGGGCAGGAGGAACACTTGCTGATGAAATCAACATTCTAAATCAGAATAAGCTTAAATGAGACAATTTTTACTAATTGTTGACAATAAAGGTCTCATGATGGGCAATACATGCATCTTGCAACAGGGCTGTATTAAAAGTAAACCCTTTTTCAAGCTGTAATTTACTCATAGGGAACCAAAACCTAAGCAGAACATATCACGATTTAATTAAAACAGACTGCTTGAGATCCTGCTAAGGTAGTTCTAAGCCAGAACTGTTCGGTACCAGCATTTTATCTGTCTGCTACAGACCAATGTTAGGTCTAACACCAGATATGCATATCTCATAGCAATCTTGTTCTGATGCGAGGATTTCATTTTGGTTCACTTCCAGCAGAAAATAACTGTGCCCCTGCACTAATAGCAATAATTAATTCCTGTGTGAGAACAGCTTTGTAATAACTCGACTCCATCCACACTAGGCTCCCAAACAGGATCACAGGAAACCAGAAGTCAGGTACAGAAGCTATGGATATACCACGGCTGCAATCGGTAAGACTTTTCTCCTAACTTCTTGATTTCACCCACCAACTTGTGGAGGCCACTTCTCCCAGGAGCTGCAGTTACCCTATTAGCCTTTAGTAGCTTTACTCCTTCATTCTTTTATACAGACTCATATAAAGGTAGCAAGTTATAGGATGGCCAACAGAAGGCTAAGCCTATCAAGAAGAGATAAGCAAAACCTGTAGTTGAATAGAAACATCCTGCTGTTCCAGTTACAAATTAAAATAAATTGCACAGTTATTTCCTAGGAAATTTAAACTGTTAATAAGATTATCTATGATGACAAAAAACCAAACCAAACAAACCCAGCAACCCACAAATAACAAAATCCTCTGGCTCTGGCTCTCAGTTCAACTTAAATGACTCCTACCCTCCCACTTCTCCCACTCCCCAAATCCCTAAGTCTACAGAGTTTCTGGATTCTCAAGGTTTTCCTCCTTTTAATCACTGTTCACAGTTTTCATCATAGAATCTGGATATCATTATGTATTTAGGACTAAGGGCCTCCATGTGTTTTTCTCCATAATCTCTTTGCTTTCCCTTACTGAGTGTTTGTGAAACAAAACTCATTAAACAAAGTACTCCTTTATTCTCGGGTAGATGGAACTAAGAGAGCGAACAAACAGCACTTGCTGTAGAGAAGAGAAAAAAAAACAACATTCCAAGAAATTTTGTTAATACATGCCAATGCAGTTTTATATGAGAAGGGATAGTCCCATTCAAGAGAAACTGATTTTAACAGGACATCTACAGTGAAGAAAACGTCTCAGATCTCACATCCAGCAGTAAGTGCTACACAAACAAGAATGAAACATAACTGTCTTTTTTATTACACTTGCAGTGCTTATACTTGAATTTATCATGCCTTTAATTTGGTTCATCCCATTAAATGTAATGTATGACTACCAATTGCAGTGGTTTATGTTTGCATTTTTGTATATGCTGAAATCTTAAAAAGGAAGCAATGAAAAAATCTAACTCAAGATCTTAATTAGCTGTTCCAGAATATGATTTTGAATGAGTTCTGAGCTATTCAGATATGACAGTTCTTTCTGCAAAAGGAAGTTAAGCCATCTTTCCCATGGGCCTGATACAGCAAGTGACAGGTGTTTGCCAGAGCAACTCTTCACAGTCTGAACAAAATGAAGGGATTTGGAAAGAGGCAGGTCTTTGAAATGAGATTTTAAAAATGAGTAGCTGTTAGCATTCTCACCTTAACTATGGGCATTTTTAATAGATATGTAAGCTGGACAGAGTTAGCACATCCTTGAACAATTACCTGAATTAAGTACAGTCTATAAATTAGAGGATTACTTGTTATGTAATGCCACTAAAGACTGATAGAATACATATTGATCAAAACCTTATGTATAGTGAATTGAAAGAAGAGTACAATGCTACAGATATTGTGTTCCACTTCTTTCAACTTTATTTTCTATTATTATGGCTTTTCAAAAAGTTCTAATGCTAAAGACCAATCTCAATATTATAGTTCATATTTAGATAGAATGTCTTAGAAAGATTAATCCAGACTGAGGACCACCCTTTATCACTCTGATAAAAGACAAAACCTGTCAATTATACAGCCCCACTGAAAAGGCAGGATATTTCTAGTCCTCGTCACAAAAGCTTCAAACCATTTTTCTTCATCTGCTATGCCAACAGTCCAGCTGATGCAACAGCAACACTTCTGTCTTCCCAGGTGCACAGTTATCATACTGCCTAAAATGTTCTCATCTGTCAAGTGAAATTTGCCTTTATGCAAGAATAGCAGGGAGGTTTTTTAATGAATTTTTAAAGCTACCCACTTCATGACAAATTTGCAAATTATTTCAGAGAGGAAAGTGACTAAAAAGAGCCACAAAGATGATTAAGGGAGTGGAATATCTCCCTTATGAGGAAAGGCTGAGGGAGCTGGGTCTCTTTAGCTTGGAGAAGAGGAGACTGAGGGGAGACCTCATTAATGTTTATAAATATGCAAAGGGCGAATGTCAGGAGGATGGAGCCAGGCTCTTCTCAGTGATGTCCAATGGTAGGACAAGGGGCAGTGGGTGCAAGCTGGAGCTTAGGAGGTTCCATGGAAACATAAGGAAAAACTTTTTCACTGTGAGAGTGACAGGACACTGGAACAGGGTGCCCAGAGAGGTTGTGGAGTCTCCTTCTCTGGAGATGTTCAGAACCTGCCTGGATGTGTTCCTGTGTGACCTACTGTAGGTGATCCTGCTCTGGCAGGGGGGTTGGACTAGATAACCTTTCAAGGTCCCTTCCAATCCCTGACACACTGTGATTCTGTAAAAAAAAAAAAAAAGCACTTAAAACTGATATGGAACAACTCAGTTGTATAAAAACAGTATTTTATTTTACAGACCAAAGCAGATCATATTCACTCTCACGACTTGCTCAATACTGCTGGCCTAAGTCAAGGACTGAGAATCACTGATTGAAAATAAAATACTGATTTAGAAAAGTCATATGTGACTTAATTGTGAAAGTACTGCAATAAAAAAAAAATCTTACTCTCCCTCAAAAAAAATAAATTTCATAACAGTTATTTAAAAAGAGAACAGAAAATATTTAAATAACTGAAATGAAGAGTTACCTTTAACCATACTTGAAACAAAAGATAATATTATCAGTGTTCCTTGTTAGAAAATAGTTAACAGGAGCTGACTACAACCATCAACACACTGAAGAGTACAATATATTTTCTACTACAGTATTTTTTTAAAAAATGACTTCTAATTTGCAAGTTTCTAATGTTTCATTTACAATATATATTTGTCTAGTAAGTCTGCAATCTGTATACTATTACCAAAAACAACTCCAGTAAAATAAGTTTTGCTTGATGGTTTGCAATCATGTCTGAAAGGGCAGCAGCTCCTTCTTACAGGCAATTCGAAAACAGTGTCCATTTGCCATCATTTATGTTCAAGTACCTTGTGTACAGCTGCTCAGCTGCTCTCATCTGCTGCAGGGTCATGTTCAGATACTCATTCAGATAGCTCCAATTTTAAATGCAGGCTTTTTTTGTTTGCTGATTTCTTTTTCTTTCCCCCTTGAACTTCTCCTCCCCCCCCTTCCTCCCTATTACACAGAGGGCTACAGCCTTGGCTACGAAGCTACCAACCAGTTACACTCATTTACAAGAGAGAAACGAGCAGACAAAAAGTGACAGCACACAATCATCATGGCATCAGCAAGTCTGCAGTTCTTTGCTTTTATTCTGGCTTTATTTGGTGCTTTTGGAGATATCACAGCCACCTTGCTACCAAACTGGAAGGTAAATGCAGATGTTGGTTCAAATATCATAACAGCTATAACACAGATGCAAGGACTTTGGATGGACTGCACATGGTACAGCACTGGGATGTTTAGCTGTACCCTGAAATACTCGGTTCTCTCTCTCCCCATCTATATCCAGGCTGCACGGACCACCATGGTACTGTCCTGTATCCTATCAGCCTTTGGGATCTGCATCACTACGGTTGGAATGAAATGCACAAAGTTGGGAGGGGACACTGACAGCAAAAGTCACGCTTGTTTTGCTGGAGGAGTCTGCTTCATTCTTGCAGGAATCTCTGGATTAGTACCAACATCCTGGTACACAAGAGAAATTATTTCAAATTTTCTGGACCAGACCATTCCAGAGAGCAGTAAACATGAACCAGGAGGAGCAGTTTATACAGGATTCATTTCAGCAGGGTTTCTGCTTATCGCAGGCGTGATCTTCTGCACTTCCTGTTTTAAAAAGCAGCAAGGAGCGCGGATTTACCCTCCAAAGCAGCACGATTTCCCATGCACAGAGCAGGAGAGCAATGCAGGTTACAACCTGAAGGACTATGTGTAAATATGGCTATTTCTATCCATGGAGGTGCTTTTTTTTGTGCTAAGTGTTGTTTATTTCATATTTCAAAGAATGTATAACATAGCACTTAACTTTTCTTACATCTGGGTTGCAATCATGTTTAAGCAAAGTATTTCATTTACAGCAGCATCCACAAAAAGTTTGAAGTAAGAAACAATGCTTAAGTCTGCTACAAGAGTCCTTTTTTTGTTGATTTTTCAAACTGCTCTTTCTGACTTTCCAAGTAACTTTCATTGAAGAGAAAAGGAACTATTTTAAAACATAACTGATAGTACAATTAATGTACTGATGGCTTGTTACAGCAAAGATGCTTAAAAACTAACTGGTTTCTATTTAGCAAATCAGGCTATTGATAACATATAATGTTTTATAGTGTATTCTTTCATTTTCATTTCTAAATTGCCTTGGTAACTAGACTTTTTTTTAAAAAAGCAAAACCAAACCAAACCAAACAGATGCACACACAAAAAACCCCAACCAAACAAAAAAGACCCACAACAAAACCCTGTAGCCCCAAACCTTAGCTGTGTATCAGGCTAAAGATTCAGCAGCACCATTGAGACCTTGCCAAAAAATCTCTCCTGCCCCAAACTGCCACCTGCTGTGGGTTTCAGTTATTATTGTAAAAGAAATGTCTACTGGGCATTCACCAATTGCTACTAATCTATCACTACACAATGAATGTTAGGTTTGAGGAGCAATACAACAGAAATGTAACCATGACTATGAAAACACCTGCAAACTGTAACACACTTGATACAAACTAAATATGTATGTTCCAGAAAAATCTGGAAGTTCTGGCTTACACTTGCTCAAAGTAGCTTTTAACAGCTCAAATAATACAGCTACCATTTATTGTCTATATTTCTGGCCTTCCAAAGGAACTTTGTATGTATTTTTAATTAATCCAATAGGGTCTTTTTCAGGCCCACTCCCATGTATTCTATTACTGTAAAATGTACATACATTGGTGATAAAGAGATAGTTTCTTCATTTAAATTTATTTTTTTAACTCCCTTATTTTGATTAATAATCTTGGATCTTTTAACCTTTTCTTCCAACATACAGACTTTGTTCTGTATTGGTCATTGGCAAAGTATATTCTGTCTAAATGCTTCCCTAAACAAGAATCAAATTGACATTAATTTGCTAGCATAGGTAAGGGAATGAAAAGAGGATATGATACAAGCCTTTAAACTTAGGAGTATGATAATGCTGGACAAGTCTTTCAACAAAACCAACTGCTATTTATTTTGCATATTTTTATACAACTTTCATTTCCCATATTATTAGCCTGAAATTAACTAAAGCAGTATGAAGGGGCCTTAACATTATATATATAGTTATTTTGGGAAAACTCAGATCTTCTTTTGTAGCATTTGAGAAAGTGAAATGTTTTATGCATCTAATGTGTACAGAGTCTTTATTCTAATATACATAGAACAGAATTATGTCTTGTTTGTATTACTATTGTTCATAGCTATTTTGAGTTTCCTATATGTTCATCAAGGAGCTTGTTTTGTACTATTCCTAATGTCAGTATCAGCAGTTATTCAGTATTGCAGAGACTTAACAAATTTTCTCTGCTTAGACACAATGCTGTGCAGCAACATTCCATTCCATAAACCAAGAGTCTTTTACATCTCAACATTCATAGGCATTGTTGAAATAATACTAATTTATTGAGCAAATAAGGAAAACAACTCACTCCCAAAAACATGCATCTCCACCTTTAGTACGTGGTTTGACATGACACTAAGCTGTGATCATTGCCAGGTATGTGAATTAAAACAAACATTTGTAAAATAAGAACCAAAGGTGTTTTTACAGGACAGCACAAGAAAAGGGTAATAACTGCACACTACGAGCAAAATGAAGTATTCACTGGTTACATAAGTAGCAAGTTTCTCTTCTTAGAACTTTACACAGAAGTACCTGAACTTCTCTGTATACCTATGAAACGAAAATCAAGCACTGAAGCACTTCATTCACAATAGGCTGCAAGAGCTTTCCAAGAAAACAAAGAATCTATCAGAAATGGTAGTATCTAAAACCACAAGTCAGTCCGCGGCTAAAAGAACAGGGACAAAACAGAAGATCAAGCTACAACAGGAGTATGAAGGAAACAAAATATTGTGTCATGCCTGTCTGAAAAATATGTACTTTCTGCTTTTGCAACATAAGCAAATGTATGAAATAAAAACATGGATGTCTTTAGTGGTACCGTCTTTTCTATTCCACAGAGCACCAAATGACTGTAGGATTTGCTTATAGCAAGACATTTTGTCACAACTCTGAGTTACCTCTCTCTCAGTCAACTATGGCCTTTTCAGGATGGGAAGATGGGAATATCAGTTATAGCTTCCCAATTCTCTGACACAGTCTGCACAAGACTTTTGATGACACTAGCTCTACTATGCCCTCAAATTGTATTTCCCATTGAGAAACTACTATCACAGAACTGGAATTTTGGCCTTACTGAACATTATTTCACATATTTAACAGTGAGATGACATCCTGAAATTATTTTTCATTCAGCTAAGAGATAGAGGAAAAAAAAATTCCCAAAATCCAAACCAAAAAACAAGATGTCTTAAGCATGGTCATTTTTCTTCACAACAGACTGCTGTCACGACTCAGAATTTAACATGTTTCAACAGTTATTTGCTCAAAAAATACTAACAGAATTTTATATGTCCAGATAGAGCCTTAAAATTCATTATGATAAAAAAGAGAGAATGACCTTCCAAAGGTTCTCGAGAGATGTCTGGACTAAAGAGTAAAAAAATCAAAAGATTATTGATGAACTGAACCAACCAGTTTAAGAGCAACTTGCAGAAACTGCAAGATCATTTTTGAAACAGAACAGATTTCCACATGCATTCAGGAGAAACAGACCCCAGTTAGTGTCAGGCACACATTTTTAAAACAACAACAACAAAAGAAGATACATTCTTGTCCAAAATGCAGTTTAATTTATTAATTCCTGATTCCTATAATCATAATGGCTATTAATAAAACCTAGTGTCAGTAGATAACAGGACAGTAAAGAGACTGTTCTCTGTTTTCCTCTACTCACTCAAAAGCAAACAGGAGGGAGAAAAGATTTGTTACTTTTTTAAACAGGCAGTGGGATGTAGATGACAAAGTGCTATAGTGAATAGGAGGGAGTTAAATATGCTAAAGATGAGTAGCGTGAAATGTAAAGATTATAGACACGGTACAATTAGAGATCTTTGACAAAGGTGACACAGGAAAAGCTTTTATTTATGAGGGTCTTTTGAAAGACCCATCAAATTTTCTAGGCACAATTCCCAAACTGTTTATAAATGCAAACTGTAAAACAGCAGGCTTTCCCAAGATGCTACAATCCTAGCAGGTTATCCTGCCATTAAATCCTAATCTCCCTCTCCAGAAACACCCAAAGGAGCATGCTGATCTTGCAGATAAGCTTGAAGGTCAAAGCCAAGTTCTGAGGAATCAAAAATAAAAGTATCTTCTTGAAGCAAGTGTGCTTTGTTTACAGGAACATCACATCACTCCACTTTGCAGTATGGAGATGTTGAACTAGAGCACCCAACTGTATTCCTTACTCAAAATCAGATATACTGCTTGATTGATAAATTAACAAAAACCACAAAAAATATATCAAACCTTACCTCTGGTTTTGGAACAAAGGCTTGACCTGGTATTATGAAGCAGTTTTCAACAGCGCAGAGATGCTGAGACATGACAGACAGTCTGCTACGTTGCTTACCTCCTGGATTAGCCGTAAGCCTCTATTGAAGAATCAAAATATGTAAATCAGTGAAACTGAAATTGACTAAGTGATCAGTTACATTAAAGTTTCATCCTCACTATAATCAAAGGCAAAGGCAAATTAAGAAAAACAATTAATTGTTAAGAACTCATATCAAAATTCATGCCCAGTTCATCTAGAATTATTTTCTCCAATGTAGCAGTATTTCACTGAGACACCATGCTAGTTTACAACCTCAGTCCTGCGATCAAATGCACATGAAAAGGAGCTCCCTGAATTTTTGTAGAATTTGAATGTCAAAAGAATTGTTATGGGCAAAAGAGGAAACTAAAAATACTCTGACTTCAGGATATAAAATAAACACAATACCAGTTGACAGTATTCTCACATCCTTTGCTTCTACTGTTTCTGTATCAAATATATTTTTTTCTCCTTAAAGATAAAACACAGCTCCATAAACTCAAAATCAGATAAACCCCAAAATTTCTTCATTATTAACTCACCTACACTTAAAATATATGCAAGGAAGCTGGATCTACTTTACGTAAGTTTAGAATATCTAACAGTTTAGAATATCTAACACATAATACTTAAAGTTCAATTCTCTGATTGTCCTAAGAAATTTCTCACGAAGTTTATCAAAAAAGTAGCCTGGATAGAGTTTTTCTAAAGTTCCATGACAAGTCTCAAATGATAAAAGACATTACACTAAACAGAAATCAAATTTTGAAGATTGCTGATATTTACCACTATCTTAATAAAAGACAAAAGATGAAAACCAATTTGCATATCTGGTAACATCTCTACATCATGTAGCTTCAGATAAAAAGCCTATTCATGAAATGCTGCCATGCTTATTAAAACTATCTCTGAAAAATAAAATTAAACCTATTGCTGAAGTTTTACATTTTTTTAAACAACTCTCCTGAAAGGCAGTTTAAGTATCAGCATGGAGCAAATAAAATACTTTTCAACAACTTTTCAGAAAGAAAGCTCAGTGATTCTTTTAGCCTCCACCAACAGTTAAAACTACCTTCATTATTGTTTCAGAGAAAACCTGTTAAAAAAATCTAGCCACCATCATTAATTATTCTCTGAAAAAAACCAGGCTGCAAAGTCTAACAATGCAATCAGCTATGCACTTCCTTAGCCTCTGCAGTGGAAGTGAAACAGATTTAATGACAAAGCTTGTAGTCCTTCCCATGCCAATTCAAACAAGCCAATCTTCCCACAAACACAATCTAACAAGTCTCAGGCAGTTAGCTCTTGCTTCTCAGCCACAGAAGGGATAGATGAACAACATCCACCTCTGGGCAGTAACATCTTACACCACTTCA